CGGAGCTCTGTTCTGTGAGCTCGCAATGAGTCATCAAGCCACGGAGCTGGAGGGGAGGACCGAGCCGGCCGGGAGGATAGGGGACATACATTTACATTTAAGTCATTTAGCAGACGCTCTTATCCAGAGCGACTTACAGGAGCAATTAGGGTTAAGTGCCTTGCTCAAGGGCACATCGACAGATCTTTCACCTAGTCGGCTCGTAGAGAGTCAAAGGATGCAGAAAGGGAGGAGAGGAGGGTTGAGGAGGCAGAATCAGGAGATTGGAGGGAGAAGGATTGAGCAGAGGGAAGAGATGATAGGATGGAAGAGGAGAGAGTAGCGGGAGAGAGAGAGCGAAGGTTGCGACGGCGCATTACCATCTGTGTAGGGGCAGAGTGAGTAGTGTTGGAGGAGAGGGAGAGAGAAAAGGATACAAAGTAGTTGTCGGAGACTTGGAGGGGAGTTGCAGTGAGATTAGTAGAAGAACAGCATCTAGTAAAGATGAGGTCAAGCGTATTGCCTGCCTTGTGAGTAGGGGGGGACGGTGAGAGGGTGAGGTCAAAAGAGGAGAGGAGTGGAAAGAAGGAGGCAGAGAGAAATGAGTCAAATGTAGACGTAGGGAGGTTGAAATCCCCCAGAACTGTGAGGGGTGAGCCATCCTCAGGAAAGGAACTTATCAAGGCGTCAAGCTCATTGATGAACTCTCCAAGGGAACCTGGAGGGCGATAGATGACAAGGATATTAAGCTTAAATGGGCTAGTGACTGTGACAGCATGGAATTCAAATGAGGAGATAGACAGATGGTTCAGGGGAAAAATTGAGAATGTCCACTTGGGAGAGATGAGGATTCCTGTGCCACCACCCCGCTGACCAGATGCTCTCGGGGTATGCGAGAACACATGGTCAGACGAGGAGAGAGCAGCAGGAGTAGCAGTGTTTTCAGTGGTAATCCATGTTTCCATCAGCGCCAAGAAGTCGAGGGACTGGAGGGTAGCATAGGCTGGGATGAAGTCTGCCTTGTTGGCAGCAGAACGGCAGTTCCAGAGGCTGCCTGAGACCTGGAACTCCACGTGGGTCGTGTGTGCAGGGACCACCAGGTTAGAGAGGCAGCTGCCACGCGGTGTGAGGCGTTTGTGTAGCCTGTGCGGAGAGGAGAGAACAGGGATAGGCAGAGGCATAGTTGACAGGCTGCAGCAGATGGCTACAATAATGCAGAGGAGATCGGAATAAAATGAACTAAACATCTGGGAAAGGAGAGGGCGGGGCCTCCCTCACCACAACTCCCAAATCTAACTCTCCCAACTTCCACCTCAGAAACTATAATTGTTGTAAACTACAGCGGTTCAATGTTTTCTAGGAATAGACTAACCTAGTTTATTCAGCTAGCTAACTAGGTGCAGTATTATTCCGTGAAAAACGTCCGGGCACCTCGTCATAAGACGCCACAGCCAGCTAGCATGCCGGTCTCCAGCAGCAGGGTTTAGCGCCAATACTCAGCCACAACAACCACCAGTGTATCAACACACAAGCAGATCGTTTGTGTCCGTGTCTAACGTTGTGGGTTAGTCCCGACAGCTTGAGCGAGTCCGTCGTCAACTTATTCATCCAGTTAGTTAGCTAGAATAGTTAGCAAACTAGCTAGCCATTGCTTTCAGACAAAGAAGAACCCCTCCTTTCACGGCACGAACACACAGAGAGAGCCAAACTAACGTTAACTAGTCACCCATGTCCCGAATTCCTTGAGCGACTCGGGCTATCAATATGTAAAAAACAAAACACAAGTGTAGGTTATGACTTACCCCTAGCAGCTACTGTTAGCTAGCCAAGTGCAAAGCTAGCCACTGAATTGACTCAGCCAGTTCGCGTCTGTTCGCTCGGTCGTTCCAGCTATTGTTTACAAGTAGCTATCCAGGTTGCAACAAGCTTGCTAATTTTCAAGCACAGTAGCCACTTGCTACCTAACGTTAACGGTTCAGACAATGAGGTTAGAAAACAACTAAATGGTAGGCAGTTATTGTATGTAACTATTGTAGGCAGCCAGCTGTTGCCTTGTCTGTGTGTTTTGGGTCATCGTCATGCTGGAATACCCATCCACGACCCATTTTCAATGCCCTGGCTGAGGGAAGGAGGTTCTCACCCAAGATTTGACGGTACATGGCCCCGTCCATCGTCCCTTTGATGCGGTGAAGTTGTCCTGTCCCCTTAGCAGAAAAACACCCCCAAAGCATAATGTTTCCACCTCCATGTTTGACGGTGGGGATGTTGTTCTTGGGGTCATAGGCAGCATTCCTCCTCCTCCAAACACGGCGAGTTGAGTTGATGCCAAAGAGCTCCATTTTGGTCTCATCTGACCACAACACTTTCACCCAGTTCTCCTCTGAATCATTCAGATGTTCATTGGCAAACTTCAGACGGGCATGTATATGTGCTTTCTTGAGCAGGGGGACCTTGCGGGCGCTGCAGGATTTCAGTCGTTCACGGCGTAGTGTGTTACCAATTGTTTTCTTGGTGACTATGGTCCCAGCTGCCTTGAGATCATTGACAAGTTCCTCCCGTGTAGTTCTGGGCTGATTCCTCACCGTTCTCATGATCATTGCAACTCCACAAGGTGAGATCTTGCATGGAGCCCCAGGCCGAGGGAGATTGACAGTTATTTTGTGTTTCTTCCATTTGCGAATAATCGCACCAACTGTTGTCACCTTCTCACCAAGCTGCTTGGCGATGGTCTTGTAGCCCATTCCAGCCTTGTTTAGGTCTACAATCTTGTCCCTGACATCCTTGGAGAGCTCTTTGGTCTTGGCCATGGTGGAGAGTTTGGAATCTGATTGATTGATTGCTTCTGTGGACAGGTGTCTTTTATACAGGTAACAAGTTGAGATTAGGAGCACTCCCTTTAAGAGTGTGCTCCTAACCTCAGCTCGTTACCTGTATAAAAGACACCTGGGAGCCAGAAATCTTTCTGATTGAGAGGGGGTCAAATACTTATTTCCCTCATTAAAATGCAAATCAATTTATAACATTTTTGACATGCGTTTTTCTGGATTTTTTTGATGTTATTCTGTCTCTCACTGTTCAAATTATTCTAACTCTCACTGTGGTCCTCTGTAGCTCAGCTGATAGAGCACGGCGCTTGTAACGCCAAGGTAGTGGGTTCGATCCCCGGGACCACCCATACACAAAAATGTATGCACGCACGACTGTAAGTCGCTTTGGATAAAAGCGTCTGCTAAATGGCATATTATTATTATTATTAAATAAACCTACCATTAATTATAGACTGATAATTTCTTTGTCAGTGGGCAAAACGTACAAAATCAGCAGGGGATCAAATACTTTTTTTCCCTCACTGTATTACGCTCTAATAAAAATGGAAAAGGCAGTATCCGATTACATATAACCCACTATCCACACAGTGATTTGGATCATTTGTTTTGTTTTGGATCGGAGAGACAGTATGAATGAACACCTCATCTAGACGATAACTCAGACATGGCAGACATTGCTTTCCTGTAGCCCAGCTCTGAGGTAGGCCGAAGGCCGGCGGATGACGATATTGAGTCGTTTCATCTCTGAGGCAGACTGCAGTGGTAGCATAGCAGCAGTGGTAGCATAGCAGCAGTGGTAGCATAGCAGCAGTGGTAGCATAGCAGGAGGTATTCTGGCCGGGCCAAGCACATCAGACAGCTGGCTCGGGATGTCAAGAGGCTGAGTTCTCAGGGGGCGCAGTGGTGTGCTCTCACTCTGACTGGCCCTTCGTTCTTCTGTAACCGTATGTGTGCTGAAGGCTACTAGCTTGTCGCCGGTATTGCAGTAGCATACACGTACCATTACAGGACCATCACACTCAACAACACTTTAAATAGCAATCTCAGTCTTAGCATTTCTTTTACAGTACCATCACATTTACATTTTTACATTTTAGTCATTTAGCAGATGCTCTTATCCAGGCGACTTACAGTTAGTGAGGCATAAATTTCATACTGGCCCCCTGGGAATCGAACCACAACCTGCGTTGCAAGCACCATGCTCTACCAACTGAGCTACAGGAGGCCTATCACATTCAACAACAGGTTTCAAATGGTCTCAACATGCATCCTTGCTGTTGGGAGGAGCTACTCTTGTTAACCTTCCAGTTCTTTTGTTGTTGCACCAGACCAAATAAAAAAACATAGTCGTTTTAACTAGGTCATTGTATATTTTTCTGTTTAATACTGTACATCTTCATATCTGTTATACATAATTTCAAAGTACATCTATTGGTAACCTCTAGTTACCTTACAACAACAACAAAAAATGCATGTAACACAAATATATAAATATATATTTTCACTCATCATGTACATCATAGAAAATGCATAAAATTGTAGTCCTATGATTTATATAATTTTCTTGCAGTCTATGTTCTTACACAATAATTATGTTTTACACAATTTTCTTAAATCAAATGTTTAAAATGTGTCCTCAAAAAGTTTCTTAAAAAAATACACAAAAAGGAAACCAACAAAAAAACAGAAGAAACAACATAGCCTGTTGCTATGCTACGTCATCAAACAGCGAAACACTACCAGAGAGGGTAGAAACCTACTGTCTCTGATTATACTGCACATTCTTTCTAATCATCGCAGCTTCATCACAACGTGAGAAATACTGTACGTGGGAGAACCTATTCAACTGAATGAGACAAGCCCTTCATGATTGACAGCAGCAGATCCTCCCTAGGTAGATTGACTGAAGAGTACTGGCAGACTTCTATTCCGCTTCAGGACGTCTTCAGTACATTTATTCAACCAGCCATACTTCCACTGAACCAACAGTCTCTTTATACACCAGATAGACAATCACGTATCCATTCTAGTGTATTGTAGATCAGGTTTATTAATTGGGCCATGTTCCCAGTATCAAATCTGTTAGCTCTACTATCAGGTCTCTCTTGCAAAAGAGATTCTCATCTGAATGAGACAATAATAAATGTTAGATAAAAATCCATAATTGTTACAATTTAAAGACAACCCCTCCTATCAGGATTTGTTCTTCAGGGTGGGTACGAAAGTATTTTTAGTCTTTGTGGCAGGTTGAGTTGGCTTGGGTTTATGGGCCACAGCCTTTTTAGGCTTTGGCTGTAAAGACTTGAGTCCAAGGATCTCACAGTACTTGTTGCACAGATGCAAGGCTTTGAACTGATCGATGAATGACGTGGCACAGTTTCCCTTGAACCCCTTGTATCTAGAAAACAGAAAACAGAGACATTGCATGTGGTTAGTGAGACACAGTGTACAATACACACTAGAGAATACAGTTCTTATATCATTTGATTTAAACCATCAGGTTTTGTATTGTATTTATTTTTCAATACTCACCCTTTCTTACATGTGGCTATTCCAACATCTGTCAATCTCATGCCAACTCCTAGAATGAAACGAGATAAATTAGATATCAATCAAAGTTATTTATAAAGCTCTTTTTAATAGCAGCAGTTGTCACAAGTGCTTATACAGTAGATATATTATTAATATTTCCATCTCCTACTTTCTTTGAACTGCTGTGAATACAGTAGCTAGGCTGGACCTTGGCTCTCACTGTGCAGATGCAGTGACCTACCTTGCATGTCAGTGACGAGCAGGTTACCCTCAGTCTTGTGGTAGACCCAGTGCTGGAAGGCACAGCACTTCTGTCCTGCCTCTGAGTCCCTCCTCTTTAGATTGATCTCCTTCCCGTCCCGGACAGAGTACTTGACGAAGTCCCCCATCAGCTCCTCTTCCAGGGTGGCATACGGGACGTCGTTGGACGGACGGTGGACCAGGTATATGGGAATAATCCTGGAAGGGGGGGGGAGGGGAGGGGAGGGGGGGGATTAGAAGAGGAATAACAGGAAGAATCAAGACGGTTAACGTTGCTGTATTGCATATTTCACTGGGGGGAAAAAAAGGATGTCATGTTTTTGCTTGAACAGAGAGATTGGAACACAAGGTGAGCTGGAGTGAAGTTTAGGGGTTAAGTTGGGTGGGACACCAGGACACAACGGCAGGAGAAGAGATGGCATCTAGGATTTGACACTGGGATTTGCAGGCTGATGATGTGACAGCGATGACGTCATACTCACTCTGGAACCTCTCCGAAGGCTTCCTGTGTCTGGGCCACGGCTGTCCAGGCCTTGATGTACTCTCTGGCTGTGTTCTGAACATGGCACTCCTGGAATCACACAATACACACACGTGTTAGATCTGAGCATTTCTGCTGATGGTTACAACCGGGTTCAGGAAGTGACTGAATTGAAATTAAATTGACCCCAACCCTGGGTCACAGTATTACACAATGCCAAATAGTGAGAGTAACTGTTTTTCTAACCCTAAATGTACCCCTGACCCTAACCTTAACTCTAACCCTGAGTCTGGTGATATCAAGGTAAATTAACCCTCACCTCCACGGCTAGGTTATAGTTCTTCTGAACCAGTTCCTCATTGTTCTTGGTCCCGTAGCTGATAGCGTTGTGTACCTTGAGCACACAGTGGTGGCCCTGGGTGAAGACAGTCACCATACCGGCCTTGAGCCTGGTCCGGAAGGCCCTCCGGTGCATACCCTCTCCGAAGTGTTCCTTCTCTGTCACCAGGCTGGCTGGCTGGTTCTTATCAAAGTACTGTTCTGACAGGAAGTCATCTTTGAACAGCAGACGGGAACATTTCACATCCTCCTCTTCACCTACTAGCTCAGTGGAAGCAGCTGAGGTAGAGAGAGGAACACAGTCATTTAGAAAGCACCATTAACATAGCATAACATATTTAGATGCTTCCACACTGAATGACCTCTGAACTTACCTAACACCTTGTCTCAGAAGTATACTGTATATCAAACTGAAATTCAACATTAGATCGCTGCTCACCTGTGGTGTTTTTCTGGGGATTAGCCAAGATGACAATCTCACTCAGCACTTTGAAAGAGACAGACAGAAACAGTTAGGGCTATTAACTTCCAAATTATATTTGTATATTGCTGTTTTTATTGTGAGAGCCCTGTTGAGTAAGATTTCCAATCTATTCATTGCACATGGCAAATAAAACCTGAAATTTGAAACTTGGATATGTGTGTGACGTATTACATGTCTTACCCTCGTAGGTGAGGAGGTAGTCTAAGGTGTCTTACCCTCGTAGGAGAGGAGGTAGTCTAAGGTGTCTTACCCTCGTAGGTGAGGAGGTAGTCTAAGGTGTCTTACCCGCTTAGGTGAGGAGGTAGTCTAAGGTGTCTTACCCTCGTAGATGAGGAGGTAGTCTAAGGTGTCTTACCCTCGTAGGTGAGGAGGTAGTCTAAGGTGTCTTACCATCGTAGGTGAGGAGGTAGTCTAAGGTGTCTTACCATCATAGGTGAGAAGGTAGTCTAAGGTGTCTTACCCTCGTAGGTGAGGAGGTAGTCTAAGGTGTCTTACCCTCGTAGGTGAGGAGGTAGTCTAAGGTGTCTTACCCTCGTAGGTGAGGAGGTAGTCTAAGGTGTCTTACCATCGTAGGTGAGAAGGTAGTCTAAGGTGTCTTACCCGCATAGGTGAGAAGGTAGTCTAAGGTGTCTTACCCTCGTAGGTGAGGAGGTTAGTCTAAGGTGTCTGACCCTCGTAGGTGAGGAGGTAGTCTAAGGTGTCTTACCCTCGTAGGGGAGGATGGTAGTCTAAGGTGTCTTACACTCGTAGGTGAGGAGGTAGTTAGGGGGGGGAGGTCTACCCAGATCTTATTGGAGGCATGGTGAGGTGTCACTTACCCTCGGCTCACGAGGAGGTAGATCCTAATCATTACCCTGTAATACATGTAATCTAATGTCACTTACCCTCTCAGTCAGTGTTCCCAGACAGGTAATCACATGCCTAACCATCACGGTGACTTCGAAGTCATGTCACATACCCTTACTTACCTACGTCAGTGAGGACGGTACCTCCTAACGGTGTACATTAACCTCGAGGTGAGGAAGTAATGCTCTCATTACACCTCTAAGGCAGGTGTAAATGGTCCTAATTCATTACACTCGCATAATACATCCTAATAATGTACATTAACCGCTTAAGAGTGTACTGGAGGACCTCCTACACGTGCTTAAAAACCCGCTCACCTACACCGCCTAAAGACACGCCTAACATAACCCTGCTCACATACACCTGCTAACCGGTAACAGCCTGCCTCAACAACACTGCTCACAACACCTGCCTAACTACACGCCTCAAACATACGACCTTCCCAATCTTACACCTGCCTCAAACATTGACTCAACATAACTGCCTCAAATACACCTGCACATACACTGCCTCAACATACACGGCCTCAAATACAACCTGCTTCACCATACACCTGCTCAACATACATCCTCAACATACATCGACTCAACCTACACTGCCCAAATACACCTGCTCATACACCTGCCTCAACTCCATTGCCTCAACATACCTGCCTCAATCACACTCCTCAACAGACCAATGCCTCACCATACACCGCCTACTAACCTGTCAAATACACCTGCCTCAACATACGACTTCACATACACCTGCCTCAACATATACCTGCCTCAACATACACCTGCCTCAACAACCTGCTTCAAAGAACCTGCCTCAATCTACACCTGCCTCAACTACACCTTGCCTCAACATGACACCTGATCATAATCATACACCTGCTCAAACATTACACCTGCCTCAACATTACACCTGCTTCACCATACACCTGGCCTCAAATAGACCTGGCCTAACATACACCTTGCTCACATACCTGCTTCACATACACTGCCTCAACATACACCTGCCTCAACATACACTGCCTCACATACACCTGCCTCAACATACACCTGCCTCAACATACACCTGCCTCAACTACACCTGCCTCAACATACACCTGCCTCAACATACACCTGCCTCAACATACACCTGCCTCAACATACACCTGCCTCACCATACACCTGCCTCAACATACACCTGCCTCAACATACACCTGACTCAACATACACCTGCCTCAACATACACCGCCTCAACATACACTGCTCACAACACCTCTCAACCTTTCCACGCCTCAACATACACCTGCCTCAACATACACTGACTCAACATACACCTGCCTCAACATACACCTGCCTCAACATACACCTGCCTCAACCTACACCTGCCTCAACATACACCTGCCTCAATCTACACCTTCCTCAACATACACCTGCCTCAACATACACCTGCCTCAACATACACCTGCCTCAACATACACCTGCCTCAACATACACCTGCTTCACCATACACCTGCCTCAACATACACCTGCCTCAACATACACCTGCCTCAACATACACCTGCTTCACCATACACCTGCCTCAACATACACCTGCCTCAACATACACTTGCCTCAACATACACCTGCCTCACATACACCTGCTTCACCATACACCTGCCAACATAACCTGCCTCAAACATACACTGCTCAACATACACTGCTTCACCATACACCTGCCTCAACATACACCTGCCTCAACATACACCTGCTCACCATACACACTCTGCTTCAAAAATCCCAAATCCTGGCCTCAACATACATCTGACTCAACATACACCTGCTCAAACATAACACCTGCGTCAACATACACTGATCAACATACATCTGCCTCAACAAATATGCTCAAAACCCTGCTTCAACCATACACTGCCTCAACATACACCTGCCTCAACATACACCTGCCTCAACATACACCTGCCTCAACATACACCTGCCTCAACATACACCTGCCTCAACATACATCTGACTCAACATACACCTGCCTCAACATACACCTGCCTCAACATACACAAGCCTCAACATACACCTGCCTCAACATACACCTGCCTCAACATACACCTGCTTCAACATACACCTGCCTCAACATACATCTGACTCAACATACACCTGCCTCAACATACACCTGCCTCAACATACACCTGCCTCAACATACATCTGCCTCAACATACACCTGCCTCAACATACACCTGCTTCACCATACACCTGCCTCAACATACACCTGCCTCAACATACACCGCCTCAACATACACCTGCCTCAAACATACACCTGCCTCAACATACATCTGTCTCAACATACATCTGCCTCAACATACACCTGCCTCAACATACACCTGCCTCAACATACACCTGCCTCAACATACATCTGACTCAACATCCTGCCTCAACACACATCTGACTCAACATACATCTGCCTCAACATACACCTGCCTCAACATACACTACCGGTCAAAAGTTTTAGAACACCTACTCATTCAAGGGTTTTTCTTTATTTTTACTATTATCTACATTGTAGAATAATAGTGAAGACATCAAAACTATGAAATAACACATATGGACTCATGTAGTAACCAAAAAAGTGTTAAACAAATAATCTGCCTCAACATACACCTGCCTCAACATACACCTGCCTCAACATACACCTGCCTCAACATAAACCTGCCTCAACATACACCTGCCTCAACATACACCTGCCTCAACATACACCTGCCTAAACATAAACCTGCCTCAACATACACCTGCCTCAACATACACCTGTTTCACCATACACCTGCCTCAACATAAACCTGCCTCAACATACACCTGCCTCAACATACACCTGTTTCACCATACACCTGCCTCAACATACACCTGACTCAACATATACCTGCCTCAACATACACCTGCCTCAACATACACCTGACTCAACATATACCTGCCTCAACATACATCTGACTCAACATACATATGTCTCAACATACATCTGCCTCAACATACACCGCTCAACATAACTGCCTCAACATACACCTGCCTCAACTACACCTGCCTCAACATATCACCTGCCTCAACATACACTGCTCAACACTGACATCAACATCCTGCCTCAACACAACTGCCTCAACATACACTGCCTCAAAATACATACTGCTCAACATCCATCTGCCTCAAATACATCTGCCTCAACAATACACTGCCTCAACATACACCTGCCTCAACTTAACAACTGCCTCAACATTCACCTGCCTCAACATACACCTGCCTCAACATACATCTGACTCAACATCCTGCCTCAACACACATCTGCCTCAACATACACCTGCCTCAACATACACCTGCCTCAACATACACCTGCCTCAACATACATCTGCCTCAACATACACCTGCCTCAACATACACCTGCCTCAACATACACCTGCCTCAACATACACCTGCCTCAACATACACCTGCCTCAACATACATCTGCTCAACATACACCTGCCTAACTTTAACATGCTCAACATGCACCTTCCTCAACATACACCTGTATCAACATACCTGCTACAACTACATCTGACTCTCCAACAATAATTCTGCCTACAACATTACACCTGCATCAACATACACTGCTCAACATATACCTGCCTCAACATACAGCTGAATCACATACATGATGTTCAACTATCTGCCAAATATCCTCGAAATGTACACGAGAAACACAGTGTACTACAACTTTCAATATTATGTCCAAGTAGATACATACTCTTACACAATAATCGTGACGTGGCCAAAACTAATCTCAACCCATAGTTGGAATTACTATGGAAGCAATACACGTATGGATCATTGTGCACGTTGAATCATGCGTTACTATACAACGTGCCTTACTGCCTCACATCATGCTGAATCATCAACCTCCCACATTTGACGTTACAGCCATCTGCCAAAAATAATATCCTACTACAATGACACAGAAATTGCATCTCACCAATGAAATACATGATCTAATCAATTAGTGTACATGTTTCAACCTTCAGCTGTGAACATACTACAGTAGCCAACATGTTCAACTGCCTAACTAAATTGATTCACCTTGATTTAATGTTGGATCATGTGTCATTTGGAAGGTGTTATAGTCACAGTTGATCAGTAGACATTACACATAGGTGACTTGCGTAGCTCCAGACAGTGGAGATTGGGAAAGTACCAACCTTCTCTGACACATTGAATCAGTACAGATCTCCATTCTTAAATGATTAATTGAACACAAAATCTTCTCGAGTACGCCCCAAAATCTGCAAATCTAGGTCGAGAAGAGAAGCACCAGTGTAAAACCTTATTTCACATAAGAGTTTCAGACCCTTAGCTGGAGACGTTAAATTAGCACAGGACATCCTGGGTTTCCAATTAATCACCTGAAGTGATTATCTACAAACTTGATTCCAGGGTACTGTGAGTAACATATGAATTTTGGACCTAGATTGGAAGGTCACTGGAACCTGAATCCTGATATAAGGTCCCACAGTTGACAGTGCATGTCAGAGCAAAAACCAAGCCATGAGGTCAAAGGAATTGTCCGATGAGCTCCGAGACAGGATTGTGTCGAGGCACAGATCTGGGGAAGGGTACCAAAACATTTCTGCAGCATTGAAGGTCCCCAAGAACACAGTGGCCTCCATCATTCTTAAATGGAATAAGTTTGGAACCACCAAGACTCTTCCTCGAGCTGTACGCCCGGCCAAACTGAGCAATCGGGGGAGAAGGGCCTTGGTCAGGGTGGTGACCAAGAACCCGATGGTCACTGACAGAGGTTTAGAGTTCCTCTATGGAGATGGGAGACGATAAAAGGCACATGACAGTCCACTTGGAGTTTGCCAAAAGGCACCTAAAGGACTCTCAGACCATAAGAAACAAGATTCTCAGGTCTGATGAAACCATGATTGAAATCTTTGGCCTGAATGCCAAGCGTCACGTCTGGAGGAAACCTGGCACCATCCCTACGGTGAAGCATGGTGGTGGCAGCATCATGCTGTGGGGATGTTTTTCAGTGGCAGGGACTGGGAGACTAGTCAGGATCGAGGGAAAGATGAATGGAGCAAAGTACAGAGATCCTTGATGAAAACCTGCTCCAGAGTGCTCAGGACCTCAGACTGGGGCGAAGGTTCACCTTCCAACAGGACAACGACCCTAAGCACACAGCAGAGACAACGCAGGAGGGGCTTCGGGACAAGTCTCTGAATGTCCTTGAGTGGCCCAGCCACATTTACATTTGAGTCATTTAGCAAACACTCTTATCCAGAGCAACTTACAGTTAGTGAGTGCATACATATTTTTTTACATTTTTCATACTGGCCCCCCCCGTGGGAATCGAACCCACAACCCTGAGGTTGCAAACGCTATGCTCTACCAACTGAGCTACATCCCTGCCGGCCATTCCCTCCCCTACCCTGGACGACACTGGGCCAATTGTGCGCCGCCCCATGGATCTACCAGTCGCAGCCGGGTACGACAGAGCCTGGATTCGAACCAGGATCTCTACTGGCTTTAGACCACTGCGTCACTAGGGAGGTGTATACAGGTGTGCCAAGCTTGTAGCGTCATACCCAAGAAGACTCGAGGCTGTAATCGCTGCCAAAGGTGCTTCAACAAAGTACTGAGTATGTATGCATGTAATTGTGATATTTCCGTCTTTTTTTAAATATACATTTGCAAAAATTTCTAAAAAACTGTTTTGCTTTGTCATTATGGGTTATTGTGTGTAGATTGATGAGGGGGGGGAAAACGATTTAATCCATTTTAGAATAAGGCTGTAATGTAACAAAAAAGTCAAGGGGTCTGAATACTTTACGAATGCACTGTAAGTACTGAAATAGATCAAATAAATGGAATGTCTGGGAGTACTCTAGAAGATATTTGAGAAACACTGAAATATGGTAACAGGTTAGGGTAACTAGCTCTCCCATAGGAATATTTAAGGGCATGGACAGTATAATATACTGTCAAATCAAATCAGGACTTCTACCTTCTCTTGATCTCAGCCAGCACTGCCCCCTCTCTGGTCCAGGTGACGGTGTAGTCAGTAAAGACAGCCGTGAACTGACACCCTAGACTGAGGCTCTGAGGATCGTCACTGACAGGCACTGCCTGGATCCGCTGCACCACTCTGGGCACTGAAACAAAATACACACATATGTCTAAGAATTACACAGAAAATTGATATTATGGTTTATAATCATTTTGGAGTAGTTATCATAACACTAGACATGGGCTCAAATTGTTTTCTTGTTTTCTTTTAAATAGTTAAGCTTCAAAATCGAACCAATGGAATAGTTTCAAGTGCAAATCCTGCCCACTCCAAGTAGGCTCAATCAAACGCTCAAAGTATTTGAAAGAAAACAAATACCATTTGAACCCATGTCTGTGTAATAGTATACTGCAGTGCATTCCCACCTTCTTTTGGTGCATGATGTGTTCTCTGTTTCAGTACTTCGCTGTAGGCCTTCCTACGAGTCGTCTCAACAGCAGCCTTGGTTTCGTGCTTACCAAACTTGTCCTCAGACAGACGGCGCCGCTTGATGACATCATCATTGGGCTGCTGGCCAATGGAGGTGGTAGACTGGAGCAACTTGGATGAAGGGTCACTCACTGTGGCGCCTTGGCTGATGACAGAAGCATCAACCAGAGATTTCACACCAGGTTGTTTCTGAGCGCTATCTGAATGAACACTGTCCTTCTTACAAGACAGAGCTGCTGTAGTCTTATCTTTGGTTTTCCCAGCCTTGGGTCCAAATTTGGCATCGAAGATGTCTATTTTCCCCTTGGCAGTGATCTTCTGTTTAGCCCTGTTCTCCACCTCAACCAGAGGCTCCACCCCTTCGCTCTTCACTGTTGCATTCTGGGAGTGTTTCCCAGAGTGTTTCTTCTTCTTCCCATGGGCGTGGCCTTTGGTGTTAACATTCTCTGTTATGACAATAGTCTCCATGACAGTCACAGATCCATTGTCGCCATCGTCGCATGGTGTTAGGGGGTCACATTTGATGTTAGATCCGAGCGGTAGGTTCTCCTGTGTTCTGAAGGTTGGTGGGGCCAGATGGTGAACCCCAGCTGGCTTGTCTTTCTTGGAGTGTGTTCTGGTTTTATGAGGCATCTTGGAGCCCTTCTTTAGGTCTGCTGTAACATAGTGGTTGGGTTCTTTATTTCTGTCTGACTGTATTTGTTTCAACAAGGACGTTCTGGAGTCTAGAGGGTTATCCTGGTCTAGAGTAACGTATGCAACACGTTCCTTCTCTGAGATCATCAAATGATCACCGGTCACAATGATACAGTTGGAGAGTTCTTTACCGAGGGAGCTGACCTCATGTGGGACTGTGATGTTTTTATTTCTGTCAAGAGACCAAGATGCTGTTGATTCCTCACTTGACGAAGACGATGCTGGAAAGTGTCTGTTCAGATTCCGACCAGAGCAAATGGTCAACTTTCCACCCTTGTCCTCTGATGTTGTGTCTCCAGAACTTATATCCCTCTTTGTTCTCGTCAACAACAGTTTTTCTTCTTTGTTTACCACAGGTGTCTTCTTATCAATGTTCCTTCGGAAACAGGCGGGCAAAACGGGCAGTCGGGGCACATTAGATTGTATAAACGCACAACTCTGACCCTTCTGCTCATTGAGTAGTGCGCTCTTAGGACCGGCTTGGATGGTGTCCCCTTCCAAAGAGCTGTTCATCCGGCAAAAGAGAGATCGGCCCACGCTGAGACTCAGAGGTGCTAAAGGCATAACAGGCATTAAAAACGGTGGATTCCCCCACTGTGGCGTCTTCCCCTCTATCTCTTGGAGGTCCTGCCTGTCCGTGTTGGGGGACACGTGTATGTCCGCCTTAGTGTCCCGGGACGGTGTGTCTCTGTGTGCCGGCACGTGTGTGTTCCTGTTAGAGTCTGTGATGCATTGAAACTCCTTTGTTGACTGTTGATGTCTCTCGTCGCCACACACATATTCCACCTGATGTGCCTTGCTACTGGAAGGGTAACCGGAGACGCTCACCGACCCATAACTTCTCTCTTCACCTTCCCCCTCAATGAACAAGCCGCCCAGCTGAGAGACGCTGTCGTCTGTCACATTCCGCACTGCATTTCTAAGGTGCTGCATGGGGAGAAATAAACAAAGTTTCAAATGGTTCAATAGTCACCGAAGGTGTAGGCTCGGCAAATGGTCCAGGAACACAAGGAAAGCACAAAGGACAACGCCCAAAGACTAGTCAGCCCCTCCCCCTCTGAGGGGACAACATGTATCTCTCTGTTACAGTATCCAGAGGACTGACTGTTGAATGAGTGATAGAATAATGATTTAGTATCCATGTTTGGTATCTTTCTGAAACTTGTTCTCTGAGGGTAACTCTGATGCTATCTATATGGATGTATGATCTCTGTGGTAACATCTGTCTTATTTACATAGGTCTCATCCCCCACACAAGCTCTTAGATGATGTAACATCCTGTGGAGACTGGGCCTTGGTGGTCAGGTTACACTGTAAACTTGTTATCGTTTGATTGGTCAGTGGTGATTGGTTTTGGGTTGAAAGGTCACACCTTCAGATGTTATAAATGGAATTAAATACCTTTCGTTCTCTCTCTTATCCTGTATCCAGTCCATGGAGGAAGGTTGTATGATCAATTCTCATTTCCTAGGCTTCTAGACCTCTGGCCTAGTAAGCATTGCTTTGTTTATGCTTTGTCTTGTAAATTAACCTCAGGATCTATATGCTTAGAATAATTCCTTGTAATGCTTGTTATTGCTTTGTAACTTAAGCTTTATGCCTTGTATGTGAATCCATTCATTTTACAAAGTTATTAAAAACACTTGTATTTAGAATTCCATTCTCAGACATTTCTTCATAGCCTACTACTGTAACTCAACCATAGTCTCTTGCATATTACTATTTATCTTTAGGGACTCAGATAAACAGAAACATTTTAATAGGCTAATTGCTTAGTTTTATTACGAATCGCATGCGATGTATATATAATATGCTGTATATATACAGTGGGGAAAAAAAGTATTTAGTCAGCCACCAATTGTGCATGTTCTCCCACTTAAAAAGATGAGAAAGGCCTGTAATTTTCATCATAGGTACACGTCAACTATGACAGACAAATTGAGAATTTTTTTTCCAGAAAATCACATTGTAGGATTTTTTATTTATTTATTTGCAAATTATGGTGGAAAATAAGTATTTGGTCACCTACAAACAAGCAAGATTTCTGGCTCTCACAGACCTGTAACTTCTTCTTTAAGAGGCTCCTCTGTCCTCCACTCGTTACCTGTATTAATGGCACCTGTTTGAACTTGTTATCAGTATAAAAGACACCTGTCCACAGCCTCAAACAGTCACACTCCAAACTCCACTATGGCCAAGACCAAAGAGCTGTCAGAGGACACCAGAAACAAAATTGTAGACCTGCACCAGGCTGGGAAGACTGAATCTGCAATAGGTAAGCAGATTGGTTTGAAGAAATCAACTGTGGGAGCAATTATTAGGAAATGGAAGACATACAAGACCACTGATAATCTCCCTCGATCTGGGGCTCCATGCAAGATCTCACCCTGTGGGGTCAAAATGATCACAAGAACGGTGAGCAAAAATCCCAGAACCACACGGGGGGACCTAGTGAATGACCTGCAGAGAGCTGGGACCAAAGTAACAAAGCCTACCATCAGTAACACACTACGCCGCCAGGGACTCAAATCCTGCAGTGCCAGACGTGTCCCCCTGCTTAAGCCAGTACATGTCCAGGCCCGTCTGAAGTTTGCTAGAGTGCATTTGGATGATCCAGAAGAGGATTGGGAGAATGTCATATGGTGAGATGAAACCAAAATAGAACTTTTTGGTAAAAACTCAACTCGTCGTGTTTGGAGGACAAAGAATGCTGAGTTGCATCCAAAGAACACTATACCTACTGTGAAGCATGGGGGTGGAAACATCATGCTTTGGGGCTGATCCTTGTAAAGGAAAAAATGAATGGGGCCATGTATCGTGAGATTTTGAGTGAAAACCTCCTTCCATCAGCAAGGGCATTGAAGATGAAACGTGGCTGGGTCTTTCAGCATGACAATGATCCCAAACACACCGCCCGGGCAACGAAGGAGTGGCTTCGTAAGAAGCATTTCAAGGTCCTGGAGTGGCCTAGCCAGTCTCCAGATCTCAACCCCATAGAAAATCTTTGGAGGGAGTTGAAAGTCCGTGTTGCCCAGTGACAGCCCCAAAACATCACTGCTCTAGAGGAGATCTGCATGGAGGAATGGGCCAAAATACCAGCAACAGTGTGTGAAAACCTTGTGAAGACTTACAGAAAACGTTTGACCTGTGTCATTGCCAACAAAGGGTATATAACAAAGTATTGAGAAGCGTATGTTATTGACCAAATACTTATTTTCCACCATAATTTGCAAATAAATTCATTAAAAATCCTACAATGTGATTTTCTGGATTTTTTTTTCTCATTTTGTCTGTCATAGTTGACGTGTACCTATGATGAAAATTACAGGCCTCTCTCATCTTTTTAAGTGGTAGAACTTGCACAATTGGTGGCTGACTAAATAATTTTTTTCCCCACTGTATATATAGTTAGTAGCAGGTTAGTTAATAAAGAAGGGTAAACATTGTTAACTCCCCTTTCCAGAAGACACCTATCTAAATCATACTTATTTCTCATATATTTGTTATCATAGATTCTCGTAAACATATCTTTCTATCTAAAACTTCCATTATGTCGGTCAGAGTCCACTGCCTTAAATATAACCTACTGTAAATGTGGGAGTGGTCTGGTCTATAGACTGTTAAATATAACCTACTGTAAATGTGGGAGTGGTCTGGTCTATAGACTGTTATAGGCAGTGCTCTACTAACTGCGCAGCTCAAAATGTTTAAGCCAATAAAAGTGTCCCTTTATCCTCCCAGGCCTTTAACCCAGTGAGTGAGCTTTGTTAGACTGCTCTGAAGGTGTGTGTGTGTGTGTGTGTGTGAGAGAGAGAGAGAGAGAGAGAGAGAGAGAGAAGAGGAGAGAGAGAGAGCGATAGATTACCTCGTTCGCGATCGCGCGCCTCCGATCTCTCTCTCCGCTCTCTCTCTCTCTCTACTCTCTCTCTCTCTCTCTCCTCTCTCCTCTCTCTTCTCTTCTTCTCTCTCTTCCTCTCTCTCTCCTTCTCTCCTTCTCCTGGTTGGAGATCTTGATCTGCTCTTTTATTTCACTCCTTTTCTGTGCTTCCCCTCCCCCCCCTCCCCCCCACCCCACTCCTGTGATGCGTGCTATTATCATCAAACACCCACTATAATTAGAGATGCCATTTCTGTTCTGTCTATCTGAGGTTTTTCTAGGCCTCTCGTTTCCTCAGACCACTCCACAGGGCCAGGCCCAGCTGTCAGTCTCAGAGCAAGGCTCCTGGAGCAAGGCTCCCAGAGGTAGGCTCCCAGAGATCCCAGAGCTAGGCTCATAGAGCTAGGCTCCCAAAGCTAGCCTCCCAGAGCTAGCCCAGAGATAGGCTCCCAGAGCTAGGCTCTCAGAACTAGCCCAGAGATAGGCTCCCAGAGATAGCCCAGAGTAGGCTCCCAGAGATCCCAGAGCTAGGCTCATAGACTAGGCTCCCAAGCTAGCTCCCAGAGCTAGCCCAGAGATAGGCTCCCCAGAGCTAGGCTCTCAGAACTAGCCCGAGATAGGCTCCCAGATAGCCCATAGCTGCTCCTCAGAGCTAGCCCAGAGCTAGGCTCCCAGAGATAGCCCAGAGCTAGGCTCCCAGAGATAAGCCCAGAAGCTAGCTCCCAGAATAGCCCACGACGCTAGGCTCCCAGTGATAGCCAGACTAGCTCCCAAGATAGCCCCAGGCCTAATGTCCAGCTAGCCAGAGCTAGCTCCCGAGATACCCACGAGCTAGTCCCAGATAGAAATCAAGGACAGATACTACTAACACCTCTTCACACTGACTCGTCAGTGTGATGAAACCACATACTGCAGTGACCAGGATGGCTAGGCTGTTTCAGATCACCCTCAGTCCTCAGTCGGACTACGTGCCACTGGCTACAGAATAGTGCTTTGCCCTACAGAATAGTGCTTTGCCCTACAGAATAGTGCTCTGCCCTTCAGAATAGTGCTCTGCCCTACAGAAGAGTTTCCTATACTCTGCTCTCTCTCTCTCTCAGTGCTGGGGTGGCTGTGAAGGTATGGAATCCTGAAAGTTGTGATGATGTTTCAGGTTGCAGTGTAATTGATGTTGTGGACTATTAATAGTATATGATAAAGGTGAGTGTCGCCTCAGGGTTAGTTTCTGACAGACAGAAAGACATAACTCTAGTGAAAGTGTTTGTGTGTGGCAGTACATGCTGCTGTTGCGTGCTTAGGTTAGTAAGTCTAAAAACGTACTTTCCCCGTCTCGAAAAAGAAAATCATTTCACAGAAATAACCAAAGATTTTGTTAAGTGTCAACATGCACCACCATGCAATTGTAAACAAACAAATCCACGTCTGTTGATCAACCACTACAATATCTAAATCAAATAACATAATAAACTTGAAATCTTACCTCTGACTTTTGCAGGGAGGTATTTTGGCTCTCAAATCTGCCAACACTGTCGTCATGTAAATAACTGTCTCTCTTATGGCTAATATCAATGTCTATCTCCATGTCCAACACATCTCTCCCCACAGGAGCAGCATTTGTGGCCAAGTAACCCGAGGCGGCTGAGGAAAAGGACATGGGCGAAAAGCCAGCACCGCCTCAGTCGTATTGAACTCCAGCCCGTAGAGTTTGGTGGTGGGAGAGGCCAGTGTGTCAGACAATGAACCCAGGGTTGAGTGGCTATCTGTGGGATAGGCAGAGCAGTCATCCTCGGTGATCACCAGGTCTCCTCCAGGCTCCTGATCTCCCTGCCCTGCTGATGATATCCACTCGCTGTGGGACTCTGTCTGGGTGTCTTCCCCTTCCCTGTCCTGGAGGCTACCCACTACCAGCAGCTCTTCTGGTCCAGTGAGGATGGGGCTCTCTGGGCTGGCTCGGGGCTCCACTGACTGGTGTTGGATGGCCATGGGTGTCTGTGGATATGCTTGTGCCTGTCCCTGTTGCTGTGTGAGTGCAGCGGTTCCTGTAAAGTCTTCAGGCCGCAGTCCTCCTCCAGTGACTATGACAGCCCAGTCGGAGAATGCGCTGTACCAGCTGTCAGTGGACACAGACCTATCAAAAGGTGGCACAGACAACCACTGGTCCGAGTCACAGCCTCCCTGACCAATAGCAGCGTCTGTTCCCAGTAGGAAACCCGACTCCTTTGTGTTGTCCGGACATTCTGTGACACTGCTGCCTCTGATAGGATAAAGGCCCCACTCGTCCCCACCCAAAATAGCCCCTTCCTCCCCCTCCCCGTCCTCAGCTGCCAGGCCCTGGTACTGGCACGCGTCCAGCCACAACTCCTTAGGACTGTCATTGTTTTCCTCTGAGGGCTTTAAACTAGCTCCCTCTGTCCCATCGTGTGTCACACTAGTGATGCTATCACATAAGACCCAATAAGCATCGACAGGTGGTGGTGTCTCATCACGGTGGCCTGGTGCTAGCCCCTCTGACCGGGCCACGTCCTCTTTCTCTGTCCTAACCTGGTGGTGGTGGTGTAGGAGTCCTGTCACCGGATCCTGGGTGACTAGTATTAAGACGTGTGTGTCACAGCGACGGTCAGTCACATTGTCCTCCGCTGTGTCACTTTTATGGGTAATCTGTCGCGTCTCCTGGATTAGGTTAAGTGTGTCAGGGTCGGTGACGCTGGCCTGGGTATTTGAGTGAAGAGGTATAGGTTCCATAGGGCCAACACTGATACCAATACCAACACCATGTATCCTTTTATGACTGGGGCAGGGGCGATGGGGGGCCACTGGCCCCTGGGGGGGGTGGATTAAGACAAGTGTGTCAGGGTCAGTGATGCTGTTCTCTGTCTGGATATTTGGCTTAGGGGATATGGGCTCCATGGAGCCGGAACCTTCCATCCCTCTTGGGCTTGGGCTGGGACCTGGGCAGCAGTGGGGCTCTGGGCCCTGGGAGGTGGGTGCAGGTTTGGGCTGGGTGTCTGGGAGGGGTGGTATGGCCTCCGTAGAACAGAGCCTGTACATCCGTCTGCGGCTAAGGCTGGGGCAGGCTGGTGTCAGGGTGTCTGGCTCTAAGAGGGGTGGTATATCTTCCTCCATTATGCTAATGTATGGGACGTGTGTCGGGCTCACAGTCAACAGGGAATTTCCTATTGGACTAACTGTTAAGAGGTTGGTTTCTCCCGTGGGAGAACCGGGTTCAGATCCCGTCCGCGACACCAACACATTCCATCCCTCTGGGGTTGTGGCAGTTGGAGGCCCCTGAGAGGTGGGTGCAGGCTGGGGTCGAGGCTGGCCACTACACGGGTCTGTGGACAGGAGCTGGTTGTGGTGACACCAGCCTTGTCATATAGATGTTGTCCACCCAGAGCTAGTAACTACAACTTTTCTGTTCGGCTGTTCCTTCATCCATTCTACAGTACTGTCACCCACTCTGAATGGGTTGGTTCAGGAAGATCTGTGGAGTATAATATGTATCTTATTACACAAAATAATACTACAACTTAAGTCTCTTAGGACCAATCCTAATCTCTTACAGCTTGAAAACAAATGATCAGTGGAGAAGATAAGCAATAGAGATCAACAAGATTCAGCAGATATAATATTTGACTAAAATATTTCAAACCTAATCATTTCACTTGGAGCTGATACAGTATACTGGGGGCCGCCAGTTGGGGAACCCTGGCCTACATGGACCTCATAGTATGTGGTCAAGTTCTTGACTGGTCACAAACATCCTTAGCTCCTCCCCCTCCCTCTGATTTATCTGGACATAGGCCCAATAACCCCACTATCTCCCTCTAGCTGTCTCCCTCTAGCTGTTTCCATCTAGCTATCTCCCTCTAGCTTTCTCCCTTTAGCTGTCTCCCTTTAGCTGTCTCCCTCTAGCTGTCTCCGTCTAGCTGTCTCCCTTTAGCTTTCTCCCTCTAGCTTTCTCCCTTTAGCTTTCTCCCTCTAGCTTTCTCCTTCTAGCTGTCTCCCTCTAGCTTTCTCCCTCGAGCAATCTCCGTCTAGCTATCTCCCTATAACTATCTCCCTCTAGCTATCTCCCTCTAGCTGTCGATAAACCCACTATCTCCCTCTATCTATCTCCCTCTAGCTGTCAATAAACATAATGTCTCCCTCTAGCTGTCAGTAAACCCATTATCTCCCTCTAGTTATGTCCCTCTAGCTGTCAATGAACACACTCTCTCCATCTAGCTGTTAATAAACCCACTTTCTCCCTCTAGCTGTCAAGAAACCCACTATCTCCCTTTCGCTATCTCCCTCTAGCTGTCAATAAACCCACTCTCTCCATCTAGCTGTTAATAAACCCACTTTCTCCCTCTAGCTGTCAAGAAACCCACTATCTCCCTTTCGCTATCTCCCTCTAGCTGTCAATAAACCCACTCTCTCCATCTAGCTGTTAATAAACCCACTTTCTCCCTCTAGCTGTCAAGAAACCCACTATCTCCCTTTCGCTATCTCCCTCTAGCTGTCAATAAACCCACTATCTCCCATTAGCTGTCAATAAACCACTATCTCCCTCTAGCTGTCAATAAACCCACTATCTCCCTCTAGCAGTCAATAGACCCACTGTCTCCCTATAGCTGTCAATAAACTCACTACCTCCCTCTAGCTGTCAATAAACCCCCTATCTCCTCTAGCTAACTTCCGCAAGCCGTCAATAAATCCACTATCTCCCTCTAGCTATCTCCCTCTAGCTGTCAATAAACCCACTATCTCCCTCTAGATAAATCCCTCTAGCTGTCTCCCTCTAGTCATCTCCCTGTATCTATCTCCCTCTAGCTGTCAGTAAACCCACTATCTCCCTCTAGCTGTCAGTAAACCCATTATCTCCCTCTAGTTATGTCCCTCTATTTGTCAATAAATCCACTGACTCCCTATAGCTGTCAATAAACCCTCTATCTCCCTCTAGCTGTCAGTAAACAGATTTTAATGAGGGAAATAAGTATTTGACCCCTCTGCAAAACATGACTTAGTACTTGGTGGCAAAACCCTTGTTGGCGATCACAGAGGTCAGACGTTTCTTTTAGTTGGCCACCAGGTTTACACACATCTCAGGAGGGATTTTGTCCCACTCATCTTTGCAGATCTTCTCCAAGTCATTAAGGTTTCGAGGCTGACGTTTGGCAACTCGAACCTTCAGCTCCCTCCACAGATGTTCTATGGGATTAAGGTCTGGAGACTGGCTAGGCCACTCCAGGACCTTAATGTGCTTCTTCTTGAGCCACTCCTTTGTTGCCTTGGCCGTGTGTTTTGGGTCATTGTCATGCTGGAATACCCATCCACGACCCATTTTCAATGCCCTGGCTGAGGGAAGGAGTTTCTCACCCAAGATTTGACGGTACATGGCCCCTTCCATCGTCCCTTTGATGCGGTGAAGTTATCCTGTCCCCTTAGCAGAAAAACACCCCCAAAGCATAATGTTTCCACCTCCATGTTTGACGGTGGGGATGGTGTTCTTGGGGTCATAGGCAGCATTCCTCCTCCTCCAAACACGGCGAGTTGAGTTGATGCCAAAGAGCTCCATTTTGGTCTCATCTGACCACAACACTTTCACCCAGTTCTCCTCTGAATCATTCAGATGTTCATTGGCAAACTTCAGACGGGCATGAATATGTGCTTTCTTGAGCAGGGGGACCTTGCTTTCTTGGTGACTATGGTCTCAGCTGCCTTGAGATCATTGACAAGATCCTCCCGTGTAGTTCTGGGCTGATTCCTCTCCGTTCTCATGATCATTGCAACTCCACGAGGTGAGATCTTGCATGGAGCCCCAGGCCGAGGAAGATTAACAGTTATTTTGTGTTTCTTCCATTTGCGAATAATCGCACCAACTGTTGTCACCTTCTCACTAAGCTGCTTGGCGATGGTCTTGTAGCCCATTCCAGCCTTGTGTAGGTCTACAATCTTGTCCCTGACATCCTTGGAGAGTTATTTCCCTCATTAAAATCCAAATCAATTTATAACATTTTTGACATGCTTTTTTCTGGATTTTGTTGTTGTTATTCTGTCTCTCACTGTTCAAATAAACCTACCATTAAAATTATAGACTGATCATTTCTTTGTCAGTGGGAAAACGTACAAAATCAGCAGGAGATCAAATACTTTTTTCCCTCACTGTATGTCCCTCTAGCTGTCAATAAACCCACTGTCTCCCTCAAGCTATCTCCCCTAGCTGTCAATAAACCCACTCTCTCCCTCTAGCTAACTCCTGTTAGCGTCAATAAATCGACTATATCCCTCTAGCTATCTCACTCTAGCTATCTCCCTCTAGCTGTTTCCCTCTAGTCATCTCCCTGTATCTATCTCCCTATAGCTGTCAATAAACCCACTATCTTCATCTACCTGTCAATAAACCCACTATCTCCCTCTTGCTGTCAGTAAACCCATTATCTCCCTCTAGTTATGTCCTTGTATTTGTCAATAAATCCACTGACTCCCTCTAGCTGTCATGTCAATAAATCCACAGTCTCCCTCAAGCTATCTCCCTCTAGCTGTCAATAAACCATATATCATCATCTAGCTGTCAATAAACCCACTATCTCCCTCTAGCTGTCAGTAAATATATTTTCTCCCTCTAGTTATGTCCCTCTAGCTGTCAATAAACCCACTGTCTCCCTCAAGCTATCTCACTCTAGCTGTCAATAAACCCTCTATCTCCCTTTAGCTAACTCCTGTTAGCCGTCAATAAATCAACTATATCCCTCTAGCTATCTCCCTCTAGGTGTCAATAAACCCACTATCTCCCTCTAGCTATCTCCCTCTAGCTGTCTCCCTCATGTTATCTCCCTGTATCTATCTCCCTCTAGCTGTCAATAAACCCACTTCTCCCTCTAGCTGTCAATAAACTCACTATCTCCCTCTAGATGTCAACAAACCCACTCTCTCCCTTTAGCTGTCAATAAATCCACTGTCTCCCTCAAGCTACCTCCCTCTAGCTGTCAATAAACCCACTATCTCCCTGTAGCTGTCAATAACCCACTATCTCCCTCTAGCTGTCAATAAATCCACTATCTCCCATTAGCTGTCAATAAACCAATATCTTCCTCTAGCTATCTCCCTCTAGCTGTCAATAAACCCACTGTCTCACTCTAGCAGTCAATAAAACCACTGTCTCCCTCAAGCTATCTCCCTCTAGCTGTCAATAAAGCAACTTGCTCCCTCTAGCTGTCAATTCACCCACTATCTCCCTCTTGTTATCTCCCTATAGCTGTCAATAAACCCTCTATCTCCCTCTAGCTGTCAATAAACCCACTGTCTCGCTATAGCTGTCAAAAAATACAATTTCTCCCTCTAGCTATAGCTGTCAATAAACCCAATATCTCCCTCTAGCTGTCAATAAATCCACTGTCTCCCTCTAGCAGTCAATAAAACCACTGTCTCCCTCAAGCTATCTCCCTCTAGCTGTCAATAAACCCTCTATCTCCCTCTAGCTGTCAATAAACCCACTATCTCCATCTAGCTAACTCCCGCTAAACGTCAATAAATCAACTATATCCCTCTAGCTACCTCCCTCTAGCTGTCAATAAACCCACTATCTCCCTCTAGATAACTCCCTCTAGCTGTCTCCCTCTAGTCATCTCCCTGTATCTACCTCCTATAGCTGTCAATAAACATACTGTCTCCCCCGAGCTGTCAATAAACCCACTGTCTCCCTATAGCTGTCAAAAAACTCACTATCTCCCTCTAGCTTTCAATAAACTCACTGTCTCCCTCTAGCTGTCAATAAACCTACTATCTCCATCTAGCTGTCAATAAAGCAACTTGCTCCCTCTAGCTGTCAATAAACCCACTATCTCCCTCTAGCTAACTCCCAGTAAACGTCAATAAATCCACTATATCCTCTAGCTATCTCCCTCTAGCTGTCAAGAAACCCACTATCTCCCTCTAGCTAACTCCCTATAGCTATCTCCCTCTAGCTGTCTCCCTCTAGTCATATCCCTGTATATACTGTATCTGTCTCAAGCTGTCAATAAACCCACTGTCTCCCTCTAGCTGTCAATAAACTCACTGTCTCCCTA